GTGGAGCACCCACACATTACTGTTGCAATTGCTGGGATCTTACTTCTGTCCCAAATTCTTGTTTGCGTCATTGGGGTGTAGAGGATTGGCTGGCAAACCTGTGGCCTATTGACCATATCCTCTAAATCTCTCTAGGTGTCACTCAGAAGTCACTACTGGGCAGATGGTACAAAGCACAGCAGTGGGTTGCTAGGGAGGCAGGTGTGAGAGGAGGTAATCTAGATATATGCAAAAGTCAGTTGAATTCTTATCTCCTCTGGTACATTTAACACACAAAAGTGCACCCCTTTAAAATTAAGTCTTATTCTCACATGTGCTTTTTTGGACTATGTCTTTTTCTCACAGTATTCCTGGATATTCTTCCTTTCACGAGGACTGGTTGGCATTGGCACAGCTAGTTATTCCACAATAGCACCTACCATCATTGCAGACCTGTTTGAGGAAGGAAAAAGGACCACAATGTTATCTGTCTTCTATATCTTCATTCCAGTCGGAAGGTTGGTTTTCTTGCTAGTAATTTTTTTTGAAATTCTCTCTGACATGACCTGCATTTCAACATGCCTGAGCCTCGATTAGATAGATTTTGATATATGTCCTCATATCAGGCTCTTGCACAAGGATTTGTCACTTGGTTAGCATATTTAAATAGAGCTGATTAGGTTTATTTCTATATTTACTTTCAAGGAGAAGGGAGAACCTAAACTCAGAAAACTGGTAGGTTTTGAATGACATATTGAAGCAGTTCTAAAAGAAATTTGTGTGTAGGAGTCGGTCACTTATTTTTGGTTTTTGGAAAACAAAAGCTTTCAGATACTAGTTTAGTTGACAAATTTGTTGAGAACCGTCCACTAAACATCTCCCAGGGAAGAAGTGGCACTTCCCTCTCCTCTTTTAGTTAAATCAACATTATCTCAGAAAGAGAGGCAGCGAAGAGCTTTGTAAGTGGTTCAGAGGCATACTCTTTATTAGGGAGGGCAGTCAGGGCTGAGCCCAGAAGCCAGATTAAAAATAAGAGAACTCTTGTAGGGCTTAATTCATATGGCTAGCATGGAAAGGGGCAAATAATAAACTGCTCTGTAGTCTGTCTGATCTGGGTTTGCGGTGTTACTCTGTAGAATGTGTATTCCAAGGAGAATCTTCGGAATCTCTGATTCTCCCCTTGAGTTTTTTTAAGCCTTAGGTTCTTGTCACTCATAGACTCTTTCAGGGAAGACAGTGCATAGACAGCGGCTCCCTCACATTTCAGTCCCAGAAAGGCAAAGAAGTCAAGGCATCACCCTGGGATAAGAGGGTAGAAAACATTTTTTAAATTATTTTGGCCCCTCTCCAATTCCTGCCTTTATCTCAGATATCATACACACCTCCGTGTTTTTTTCCTCCAGGTGTATTTCCCTTGTAGCCCTAATGATAGTAGGGTTGTTTACAGAATACGTCTCTGTGCTCTCCATAGTGGAGAGATCTGTCATTTCCGGCAACAAAAATTCATTAGTGCCTACTGATTATCCCTTTCTGTTGCTTTCAGTGGTCTGGGTTATGTCCTAGCATCCAGCATGGCAGATGCCACAGGTGACTGGCACTGGGCATTCAGGGTGAGTTACTCACTTTCACTCGTGGGGCAGAGCCATTCACTGTAAAATCATAATCTCGATGAGGTTTAGAGCATTCATGTCCACTGTGTTAAAAGAGATGAGCCATGGAAGAACTTTCTACCATCTGATCCTGCATGAACCTGTTGTTTAAGAGAACTCTTCCTGCAGGACAAGTGGAGCCTGGAAGATTTCCACCTAGCTCTTGCAGAATGAAAGCAGGCATAGGTGAAACTGTACAGCAGCCACCAGGCGAGGGCAGGTTCTTGTGTTCCTCTTACCTGAGGACACACTTGGAATGGTTGTCAGTGGACCCAGACCTCCTCAAATAGAGGCAGCTGAAAGTAACATGATCCTTATATGTGGTAGCACCAGTGTAGTTCTTCAGGAAAATAGAGAGAAGGGAATCAGATTCTTTTTGTTTGTTTTCTGAAATGCTGTTTCAGCATTTTAGTGTGGGAACAACTTCTATTTTTTGAGGGTTTAAAGAAAAAGTTTCATCTGTTCTGATCGTGTCATCATGATGTCTTCCCATACTGAATACCTAATACTTTGAAAGCGCTCTGTCAGATCTTCCTAAATTATCTATAACATTAACTAGCAAGTACAGGATGACCCAGGAAGAATGTCTTTTGGAATAATAGTCTTTTATTCCTGCATCAAGGATCCTTGCATTTATGATTAGAGTGCTCCAGTATAGTTTTCTTTCCTTGCATGTTTTTCTCCATAATCAGAGGTAGTGTTCACGTATCTGTATGATAGGAGGGGGATCTATTATCTTTCCTCAGAAGTCACTGTAAGTCACCAAAAGTCACTTTTCTTCCTGCAAATATGACCTACCGACAGTAAGTCATATCTATATCTAAGCTTATATGCAATTTCTCCCATATGTAATTCTAACACTGCATTTGAATTGCTGTGGAGTTTTCAGTATAAGAAAAAGGTATCTCTGATCTAACCAGCCTTGTCTCTACAGATAACTCCTTGCATGGGGACTCTAGCACTTGTTCTTCTGATTCTCGTGGTCCCTCGCAGGATCCAGAGAAGAACAGAAGCACACAGAGCGCTGAGCATTTCCGGCACAATACGAGTAGCAGCTGAGAAGCCAGGTGTACAGAGAACTGCCAAGACAACTTGGTGTGAAGATGTCATATCACTTGGCAAGAAGTACGTGATTTTAGCTACAAAAGGTCACTCCAACAAAAAATGGCCATTCCACTATTAGAATTATGGCCATCAAATCCCAGTTCCCTCCTCTGTATCCCATGCTGTATACAGGATGATTGAAGCATCATTAACAAAATCTTTCTTCCATTCCTTTACAGAAATGCTACATGAGAGATTGAAAACTGCTTTGCTTCTGCTATCCTCCCATTTTGAGGAGGAGGAAGGAGGCAAAGTAGCTGAACAACAATCCTCCTTTTTTTATAGAAGACTGTATAGAAACCCCAGTCTTGGCCCTAACACTGTTGCAATTTCAATACCACTCAAAATCTGTCTCCAGCTTCACAGACTGGGTGTCTTATGGGCTGTGTCTGTGCTGGGCTCCAAAAGATAACCACAGTTGTATAAACCTACCTGAATCATATTTAATCAGGATAGTACAGGTTTGTGTAGTAATAAAAGTATAATAGGACAAGGCTCCCTGCCAGGGACTTGTGCAGGTGTGCATAGCTTTTGTGGAAGCACTTGTTGATATAGCTCACACACAGCCATAAAGATTAAGTTATGTAGTTTAAAGTGAGCTCAGCACGTTCCCGTCTGCTGTGCTGTCCCTTCAACACGTAGTGTAAGGTAGATTGGTAAACGTACACATTTTGCAGGTGAAACTTTATCTGTAATTTGTAGAGCCTGAGGAAGATTGGGTCAGCATGTATCAGGCAGTCTATATATGGTATTTGAGAGCCTGCTGTGCCTCCGGTACAAGAGGTCAGATTCTGCAAGACCCCCGTATGGTTTCTAAAGTAATTGTACGTGTATTGTAACCAACTAACCTGTAGGTGGCAGATGACCTCTTGCTTATAACCTCTCAGAAATTAAAGTCAACATCAGCTGACCTGCAGGACAAAGTCAGATACTGTTTGCAGCAGATTTCTCACTCATTTTGTCTGGCAGCGGAAGCCCTGCCAGAGGCAGGACGAAGAGATGCATCAGGTTTGACAACAGCAGGTGCCGCTGTGCACCTGTACCAGCCCCTGCTCCACACAGCCTGCACTTGCAAGCTGCTTTCCCAGGGATCCTGGTCAAAGACAAGCCCCCTCTTGCTTTTCTTTGGAGTTTGCTCCTCCAGGAGGATCCAGGGTTTTCTAACTGGTAGATTGGATTTGCATCCAAGTTTTTATTTGCGTCCAGAACAGTTAAGTACATAAGAGATCCAAATAAGGACTTTCACAGTTTCTAGGCAATAGCAGTCCGAGGTGAATCAAAAAGGAACCTGCCTACTATTGCAAAAACACGACTAATATCAAAGTTGTTTTCTTACACAGATGTTCCTTACAACTTCCAACAGTGTGGTAATAGTAGATTTTCACTTTCTTTTCCTTTAGCAACCAGTTCCCAAAGGGTAAGGACATATTGCTGAAAGTCGGGTTGTCCCCCTTTTAATCAAGTGCAGGAGCCCATATCTTTAAGAGATGAAGAATTAAGTTCAAAGGAGACTTTCTATAAGCTATTAGCTAGAAGGAGACCAGTAAAAAGTTGATCTCCTGGTAGAGGGCAGTGAGGAGGCGGGAACCGGGCATTTAAAAAAAAGTATTTCTCCTTTTGTCTGAAAGCTCTCTCTTCAGACTGAGAGTCTATTTTAATAGCCACTGCATGTTAAGAGTTTGAAAGACCCAGAAGTTACTTTCATATATATTGGTTACACAAACAACTTAAAAACCAGCCTGAGGCATTTAGACTTGCGCGTTGAACACTTTAATTTAGCTGCCAAGCCATTAAATTCTTGCCCGCTCTCTGTTGTTGTAGTTCCTTTATCAAAAAATCCACAACAATTGTCTTAACAAAAGTTGACAATGAAATCTGCAAAAGACCAGGAATGGGGTGTAATATGAAATCAGTAGGTCACACCCTTAACTCTAAGTACTACTTTACTGTCCAAGCTCATAGATATAGCCTCATCAAAATTCGAATCAGTGCACTCTGATTATACGACCTCTGAAAGGATAGTTTTGTTATTGTTTGAAATCCTGGATATTGCAGGTAGGCTTTCTCCTTCTCCCTGTACCCCGTTCTTTCAAATTGCTCTAATTTTTTTCTTGTGACTTTCAGTTGGAGTTTTGTCTGGTCCTCACTGGGTCTGACTGCTATGGCCTTTGTTACTGGAGCCCTGGGCCTGTGGGTACCGCTGTTTCTTTACAGGGCTCAGGTTGTCCAGGGCATTGTATCACCATGCCTCCAAGAATCATGCAGTTCGTCTAACAGGTGAGGTGTGCGCAACTGTGGAAACACACATGGAAACACGGAGTTTGCTTCCAAAGACAGAGGGTAGGATGTGACTGGGAACACTTCTTGTGAAAGCAAATGGGGGTGAATGTTAAACTAAATCACTTTGAGGTATGCTGAGGCACTTTGAGACTAACAGTTACTCTTTGTCAGTTAACTGGAAGACCACTGCTAGCCCTCTTTAAGTAAAGTAGAAAGAAGCAGTGACAAGAACACCAGCAAGGAAAAGAGCAGCTTTAGAAAGGAGGCTTCAGTTGTCTATGGACTTCCAAGCTCGAGATACTTAAATATACACTTAAGCATGCTTAGAGCCTGTTGTTTGTAACCTTCGCATTGTGATCCTGTTAGCCTTGTTTTAAAGCTACTGCCGTGTTGGCCAGGTCATTGTAACGCCCAGTGTGAAGCAAGCTGATAAATCTGATGGTATCAGATTTATCGTATCGCTATATCAAAATTAGATAATTTGTTCTTGCGAGTAACTCTGCCAGTAGAGCTTGCTCTTACAGACTGTCCAGAACAACTGTGATACACAGATAAAGTATCAGTTGTCAGATGGGCAAGAGTAATTTACCATAGGAGAAGGGTTTGATGTAATCACAGTGTGACTCTTTGGAAACCTCCTTACCCCTGCTTGGGAGAGAATTATTTTCCTTAGAATATTTTGTCTAGGGTAGGAAAAGGTGTTCAGTGCTCGCCCTGAGTCTTCATAGCTACCCTCAGCACTGGCAAGCACTGGGATACTTCTCCATGTGCTGACCCCTGACAAGTGGTCTCCATGCAAATGTGCATATACTTCTTCTGGAGGTATCCCAGTCCTGGTTACAGTACCTGTTTTTCTGTTGTATTTCCAAGAACTAACTGCTTATTATACTCTCTTTCCAGATAGAGAGAATTCAAGGGAAAAGCAGTAATTATGCCTTGCATGTGCCCTCTGGTACCTGGGTGCTTTCGCTTTTTCCCAAGGGAGTAAACAAGTCAGCTCTAAAGTGGTTTCTGAGTTGTACGGTAATCAGATGGCTAGACTGATAGGAGATGGCCACTGCAGGAAGGCCTTAAATGTACACATTTTCCCCTGGTCCATCTGGTCCATTTCCAATATAGACTTAAGCGTAGTCTGAGTGGAACTGTCCGATTTTCACCTAATGGAAAGTATATTGAAAAGTCCTCCACAGGTCCCTAAACAGTAAATGCAATTGTCCTTCCATGGATGCCATCACTGGCATATTATTTATTTGTGAATGCTGCTGAGAAGGTGAGTGAACTCAAGAGTTTGGCTCAGGGTAGGGAGGGACGGAATGCTGAACCTTCAGATACATTTTTAAAACTTCCATTTTTAAGCTTAAGGTGTTAGCCTATGTCTTGTTTTCTAAGCCAACTTCTGAATTATTATTCTACAGTAGTGTTGCTAGAGCAGACATGGTCTTCAGGGAAGTAAAAGGGAGCACCTGATAGTTTAACCTCATGTACTGCATCTTACAGGACGCTTTAAAAATAACCATGGCATAAGCTAGTGCCAGAGGCAGCATAAGGCTGGTTTTAGACTGCTGTTCCAGAGGGACAGAAAAAAAGTGTAATATAAACAGCTATGTCAGACCCGTAACTGACAGTGCTAGGAGATCTAAGCTGCACATTCCCAGATTTACCCAGGGATGCTTTAAGGATGTTATCCCCTGTGGTTGTTCAGCAGTTGCAGGCTTTGTTTAAGGATTAGGGCTGTGTCACTTAGACTCCCTGGAAACACAAATTCAAATGGCGCCAGAGCTGAGTCAGGTCTCAATCCTTTCAAGGTAGATAAATAGGTACTGTGAAGCTGGTATTGCAGTCTTTGTGCAGACCCCTTTGAACAGATGCGACAGACACCTGGGTGTTCTCAGATCCTAGAAGGTCCCATAGTAGCCTTCCCTAGGACTAGACTGTTGTTCTCCCTGCCAGTTATACTGTGCTCTAATTGAGTCTTGGCTGTTCCTTTTTCTCCCAGCAGTAGCTTCATTTCAACTGCAGTTTATAGCATGTGAATCTTCTAAGCACAATTCCTTGAATGCTTAGATAAACTAATGTCACCTTGGAACTTGCTTCTCCCAGACAAATGTGTAAAGTAGTTATTCTGCCTGTTTGACCCATATTGTCACTAGCAAGCTATAGTGAGTGATGGCTTAGAATGTAGAAAAACCTACAGGCAGAGTACAAATATGCCTAAAGTTGGTTATCATGTATAGCAGTTATTTTTTTATTCTTGTAGAATTATTAATTGAGTTCTTCCTAATGGAGGAAATGAAAAGGTAGATGCACTGCAATTTAAAGAACTGATCATATCCTAGCTGGTTATTTTGCTTTGCCAGCAGAGAAAGCTTAGGAAAACGTACAGAACTTACCACGTAGCACTCTGAAATATTTAGAAGCGCTTGTGCTCAGGACATTATGCTTCTGTACCCGTTTGCCTCAGGAGAATTATGATGCATTAAACAGTCAGTGGCACCACTGGTCTTGTTTCAAGAGACTTGCTTTGTCATTAGGATTACCTTTGGGACACAGGAAAAAGCATATGTGGAAGTCCCTCTGGAAGCTAAATTTTCTCGGCAATTAGAACACATACTTTTTAAAAACCTGAACTCACCATTCCTGGGGAACACAACTGCATTTGCAGCACACAAAGCTGGGTGGCATTTGAAATTCTGCATTCAGAAAATGCTATGCAGAACTCCCCCGGTTCACTATTCAGTATTCTTTCAGCTGTTTGGGGAAGGGGTAGCTGTTTCCCATAGCTCGAGAAGTGACTCATTTGAGCTGTGCTAACTGGAGGGTTATAATAGTTTCGATGTATATGATTCCTTGCAAAAGGTTCTCTTCCAAGACAGCAGATTGTGACACAGAGTTGTTCCATCTGTGTTTTAGGGATGATTGAGTAGATTGGTTCCTAAGTTAACCAACATGACTGGAATTCTTCTAAATCACTGGATGTCCAAGCCAGGTTGTACTGAGAAGACTCCTCCTTGAAGCTGGGTGCATAACACTTGCTGCGTAGATGGGAAAATATCTGCTTCACAGGACAGAGCGTCAGCAGCAGAGGCATAGCTGCAATTGAGGCTTGGGATTAAATCCATTTAGAAGGAAGGGGAGGGCTGGATCAAGTGGAGTCAAATTCAAGTTACCCAGTAAGGATTCCTCCATTTTGTGTGGGATGAAATACAGAACTGAAACTAAATGAATCCTTTGCTTTGTCACCAGCTTAATATTTGGAGGCATCACCATTGGGACAGGAATCTTGGGTGTCATTGCTGGGGCAGAAGTTGCAAGAAGATTAAGGAAGATTAACAATAAAGCTGATCCGCTGATCTGTGCTGTTAGCATGTTCCTTTCTGCCCTGAACCTCTACATAGCTCTGATTGTGGCGCAGATGAACATCCTTTTCACTTTTGTAAGTGTTAATCTATTTATCATTAGCAAAATGTCTTCTGGATTAGTGGGGAGATAGGGAAGAGGGAGGAGGAGGGATGGTTTTGCAGAATTCTCTGCGTTCGTCCAGACCATTAAGCGTTTTCAGTGACTTGTGATAAGGTAGCTGGCAAGCTGAGCACTGCGCGTGTGGCTCTAATGCTGCCTGCAGCTGCGGTCTCTCCTGTGAGGGCTCTGATGTGCATTACTTGGCCCAGTAAAGAGGACAGGCAATCAGTGAGCATTATAAATTGGGACTCGGGACCTATGGAGTCTGCCTACACACTGAAGAAGATGATAGTAAGCCTGTGTAGTTAGCTGCAGGAAGCTGGAGTTTCCCTATCCAAAAGTGTAGTTAAAAGAAGTCTCAGTCTTATGTTAATTTTTAATGCTGTGACTTCTAAATGTGACTAATTTAGTATTCGTATTTCTTTTTGCTCCCTGAATACTTAAAGATTGGTGTTCTTGGGACTGTACACTATGCACAGTTCTTGCTAAGAATAATTTAGCCGTCACCTTCAATGCCCCAAATCACTAGCTGATCTTCAAAGTCAAGCTTTTGGCGATGCAACCTGCAGTGTAAATCACTTAAATTCTGTTCTCAGTAAAGAAAAAAACAGAAACTTACTAGGAATAATGAACAGCTCCAAAAGCTCCCTGTGAAAAGGAACTGAGTGTAAACCTTATTTTAACTATTATCTGGTAACACTGGGGGAAAGCCTCCAAGCTTTTTCCCTGTGACTCCATAGCCACCATTACCACGATTAACATAAATAATAGGATCCAAGTAAAGATAATTATAGTAATCCACACTTCTCTTCCAAAGGGTATTTTTGCAGCATTTTTGCTTCTAAGAATAGTGCTTATTCAAAGAGATTTTCCTTTTGACTCCTCAGGAACGTGTATTCCTGTGGAAAAATGCCTTTCCATCAAAAGCAAAAAGCTAATGGATTTGTATGTGTGTTTGTGTGTATATGCACACAAAGCAAAATGTGAAATTCAAAATTATTTTTAGTTTCAATAGCTGGGATCTAAGCACCAAAAGAATTAGCCATTTTCTTTGTCTGCATCTTATTCCCACGTAGTCCTGCTCTGAGTGGGTTCTTCTGTCCTTTTTTGTCATTAAAGGTGTAGCCCACAGTCTCAACTACCTGTTTCATTTAGCAGTATGTGTTAGACGAGTCAATCAGTATATCAGTTTTGGTTTTCCCTTTTCCAAAATATACCTTTTATTAGGGCTGGTAAATTGAAATTTGTTTAAAATGCTTTTTGCCCTGCAAACAGCATTCTGTTTTTGAGCGGTATGTTATTTGAGAGGAAATTCAGAAGTGGGATATGGACAACTGTAATCTTTTTCTTTCCCAAGAGCAGACCAGCTGGTCTTTTAACCAGGAATGTCATCTTTTGTTTGATTTCCTTGATTCAGGTGTTCCAGCATGTAATATCAACAGTGTGTAGTAGTAATAAACTGTAATCTAGGCACCTGTTTCTTCTAATATTTTTGCCACTACAGCTGCCTAACTGTTGCCTTCTCTGGCACCAGCCGGGCCTCTCTTCTCTTTCCAAACAAGATCTGACACTAGTCACATGAGTGTGAGAACTGGAGTGGCGTGCCAGCTGGTGCATCTAATTTGAAGGTCCCACTGAAGCAAATCTTTCATTTGTGTAGGACACTAGCAGGAAGCTGGCTTTCCAGTCACTGTTTACTCAGGCACACTGATGTTAGCAAACCTGTCTCCATCACTTCACTGTGTGGCATCTACTGAGGCAAAATAAAGTGTATGCATCAACTTGGAAAATACTGTAGTTTCTGTATGGTGCTTTCCACTGTCTGAGTGGATAAAGAAAGGGAACAATGAGTTAGATTTCATCAGCTATGGCCAAGGCTGGAAGAAATGTTTCAAAGCCCAAGAAGCATTCTGAAGTTAGCATGGAAATATTGCAGGACTTCCAAGGTCTCTGTCGGGTAGCTGAACTGAAATGTCATGAGATCCCTCTCCTCTTTTTGGATCCATACTTCTTGGTTTCAAAGTCTATTTTTGAAAAGATAGAGAAAAATAATCTGGCTGTGTTGTCTCAGAGGAGGGCTCTGTCCATATCTGTTCCTCTCTCCCAAAGAAGATGAAAGATGTGTGCTCTCTGCAGTGCAGCAGGTACTTTGGAAAGTCATAACTAAACCCTCTGGCTGGAAACCCTGGGCTATATTTAGTGTCGGGATAACATGTGTAAACAGACTCATCTTTAATGGTAGTATTGCATCAGGATACAGTCTTGCCCTGCAACTTGCCTTTGAGGGAACCATTCTGTAGCTCTTGTCTCTGACACACCTTCCTGGTGTGGTTCTTCTTGAAAAGACAGAAGCGGTTGATCAGATAAGGTCCAGTCATGCTGACTACCTTCTTTTTTGCCTAGAAATGTGACCATTTGAAAACAGGAAGTATGTTTGGCACTGACATTGATTACAGTCTAATTCTCTATTCTCTTCATACTGGCTTTAGGTATGAATGTAATCTACAATACAAAATCCTCTTCAAATTCAGGATGTTATTTTGGTTGCATCCTTTGGAGAGCATATTAGCTCTAAGGGTTCAGTCTGTTGAAAAAGTTGGGGGTCCTGGAGAAGGTGACAGCAACAAAATATGTTTCAATCTATCTTTCCTGGGTACACTTAGGAGATCAGAACAGAATACTGACACAATTTGTAGATTGATGTATTACCTTCTGAAAAAGTCTGTGTTAAATTTTTCTAGTGAGTCTACAACTGCAATCTGTGCAAGACCTTAGGGGAAAAAAAGCTAACAAAGTTGTGTCTCTAATGCTAAGACAGTTCTGTATGACATAATTACTTTCTGCAGTATGAGGCCTTGGCCACAGTGTATCATATTTTTTTTTTAAATCATGGATAGCTTTTCATTAATTCCCATTCTTGGAACTTTCTGGGCTTTGAACATACCTTGTTTCCTAAAGATGACTTTGACATTCTTTTCTCAGCACCAGGCACTCTTGTTCTTAGAGGTTTGTGGATATTAAATAACTTGGATAAGTCATGAAGAAAAAGGAAAACCAGAAACAACACTTTACACATACTAAGCATCATAAGTTCCCTGCAAGGGAGATAAATTAATCCCTCTTGGTCTGTAAAGACATGTAGTCTTGTATTCCATTGGCGGTATCTAGAAACAGTCTGTGACTCTTCAGAACCTTCGGCTCTAACCACTGTATTTGCATCTTGTCAGATTTAAAATATCAGCCAGGATTTCAATAAATCTCTTTGTTCTTTGTCTCTTTCCTGTTTCACTTTAACCTGCACAATGCATTGCTACCTATGGCACAGGTGACAACATTAACATAAATAAAGTTCATGCCATTATTGCTGTATAGCAGGATTCAACTGTGCTTCAGCACTTGCTTATAATTCTCCTGGGAATACTGCAGTACTGCTTTGACCACTCTATAGCTGCAATTCTGAATTAAGCAATGGCACATTTAAAGTTTCTTTGTATGGAATCAGAAAAAAAAAGAAAAAATGCAAGGTCCTTGATGAATGTGGATCTTCCAAGAGAAATCAGAGAGTATTACCTTGAGATAAGATGGCGAAGGGCTAATATTTTCTAGTGGCTTGCAAGATTTGATGTTGTTGGTGTTTATTGCAAGGTGGCTTGGCAATAAGCTGAACTGTGTGATATCACTACCCATGAAACAAACATGTTTCATTTTGTGTTTGGCTCAAAGTTCTGTAATGCAAGTGTGTGTCACTTGGTCTCCAGATAAGACTGGTGTGCAGAAACATTTCGGTAGCCTATAGGCTATTATTGCTACACTCCTGGAATTGAAGAAGAATGATTGCATGCTGTCCCTTGCAAGGGCAAGGTCAGCCAAGGTCAAATGAGTGGAAGGACTTTGATAGGTATCCAGTGGGATGCATAAATCCAAAAGCTAAGACATAGACAAGATCTATGTGAAACTAATACTTGCTGTAAAACTGAATGAAAAGTAATTATGGGTGGAGGAATAGATAAAGCTGAAACTAGAAAAAACTTGTATGAAGCATTTTGGAGGAAAAGATATCTGGATAAAGGTCTGTACTCACATACACATGAACAGAACAGGCAAACAGGAGATGAGGTAGGTATAACCAGAAGATGCAGTGATTTAGTAGGTCTGGTTCATCTCATTGGGAGAATCAATACTACCCTTCTGAAAATGTCCGTTAGTTTGCCACTGTGACTCTTCTGAGGATTACATTTTCATCAGCCAGATACAAGATTATGATAAAGGCCCTACCAAAAAGATGCTGGCTATATAGCCTGTTGCTATAGTGGTGTATCTAGGGTGTTTCCAAGGTGCCATGTGACTTTGTGGCCTGTGTAGCTAAATAGATTCTGCCTTTTGGAACTACTCCAGCTTAATAGGATAGCTTTAATGCTTTCTTCAGGTATTGATTAGTCTGTACAGCCTGCTCAGATCTATGTCTAAGAGCAGATGGAAGGGTTAATCTTTTCTCAGACCACAGGTGTAGGAACTGTTGGGAGCCCTACCCCCTTTTCCTGATGGTTGGGTCTCCATCTGTGGTGAATTAAGGAATTCCCACAGGGCACCAAGGTTTCCAGGCTGCCCATCTCTAGGAGTCCATTTCACTTTGGAAGTTGCTTCTTTGAAGGCGCCATTAAGAGTACTTGTGCTTGCACAGAGGTGTGCCGTTGGTTTCATTTGGAAAGCTGAGCAAAGGGAGAGCTTTGAGCACTCTTTAAATGTCTGCTGGGAGGTTTCCCTTCACAGGCTCTTGCCTTCCTTTTCTTAGATTGGGCAGTTGACATTTGCATCCCATTCCAACTGAAATTACAGTTTATCTGGGAGGGTGATCTCATGATTCCTATTTTGGCTCTTCTGCCGAGGATTTGTGATACAGAGCAATTCATATACCTTCTCTGGTTCCTTTTCCCCCCGTTTAAGGTGAAGATAGTGTTTACAAGCATAGACAGAGCAGATGTTTAATTTGTAGAGATGGGTATGTACAGCAATTCTTATATAGACAAACATAGTCACTGAGTCTGCTGTTGTCTTTGCACTGAAAATGTCAATGTAGTGTGTGCAGTCACTGCTTTCTTCTTTTTTGGCAGATTTTTATTGCATTTGGAGAATTATTTTTATCTGTAAACTGGGCTGTTGTGACAGACATACTGCTGGTAAGTGCTTGTGAAACTGTTTGCTTATTTCCATTTTTTCAGCTTTTCCTAACTTAATATTGTTCATAAACATGTATCATCTTGGTGGCCAAAAGGACCTGCTCCTTCTAGGAAGAGATCAGTGAATGCTTACTGAGAATACACTCATTGGCACCCTGCTACTGTTGGGATGTAATCAAGTGGCATAGTGCAGTGCTGTGCAGAGATACCAGTAACAGTACAGGTGTAGCAGAGCAGTAGTCCAAACTCATTGTGAACTCAGAAATGAGATGTACTAGTTTGAATGAAACTTATACAAGTGTAACTATCTAGTACTTTTGTATTCCTATTAGTCTAGGTTTTCCGTACAGCTCTACGTTATTGAATGTCTGCCAGAAAATGGTCTGCATCAGAAAGAGGATCACTTTCTATCTATAGAGACTTTCTATTTGTGCTCAAGGATTGAAAAGATGATCCAAATGAGGGGAAGTCAATATTCTTTAAACCCAAGTTAGTGAATCTGTTACACTTCTTCATTCTGTGAACTATTAGTAAATTCCCTTATTCTACACTACTGCACAGAAAAATTCCAGCACTTTCAAGTAAAATTCATGAATGGTGTTACCCTGGCAAAGAGTTAGGCAAGCAGTGAAACTTATGAGACTCTTTGGAGTTCGAGGAGTGACTGCACAAGCCCAAAGAGTAGCAGTGCATACTTCATTTGAATTCTGCCATCAGCAACTTTCTTTAGAAAGGCGTGATGTGAAAAGCATGCATCTTGTGGCACAATGAGTCTTGGTATCAGCAAGCAAATAGTTCTTTCTATTAATTTATTATTGTAAAGGCTCTTCGAGGCAGTAATTTTTTAATATCCTTGAGGATGGCATGTCTTTACTTCAATGAAAAACTTGGTGACCTTTGGTTTATGCTGTAGCTCCATAGTCACTAATCAGCTTCTGTGTAAGACATGCGTGGGACAGATATTATTGTTACACTAGCATGAGTTTCTACTGTCACCGAATTACGCAGATTACCAGTCTTATGAAGGGATTTATATGAGATTTTTCTGTAAAGTCATAGTACTAACAAGCTGAATAGTTTATCAGTTAAATACAACATGTAAATAGTCTACTGTGTTCATATCTAGTAATCAAACTGCAGAAAGCTGATGTAAGTACGAAAGTGAGAGCTACTAAAGTAAATAAGAGCCCTTTCATTGCTACCCATGGGCATAAGATAAACCTTTTAAAAATTGGTACTATCCTTTTCTACAAAGAATAGAATACCATATCACAAATGAGATCCGAGCTCTGTACTTCAGAGGATCTTCTTCTATAGGATCACTGTGTTGCAGAAAAGTGAGTATGATACTAACTCAAAGATTTGAAGCGGGATGCTACCTGAAAGAGAGTAGAGAAAGGTGTTGTACTGGCAAAATGCTAATACACTTTCTAGTAACAGCTGGAGAAGACAAAGTAGAGAAAATTGTGTAAAGCTGCCAGGAGATATGAGAACAGGCACGAAGGTAAGGGCAAAGCAGAAGAGAAATCTCTGACTGAGTTTCCCACCCTCAGGCTAATTACTAGCTGAAGTAGCTGAAGAGAGCCAAAGCAAGAATTACATAAGCATATTGCATTTTATGTAATAGTTTTTTATTCCAAGGGAGTTCAAGTCTGCTTGCGGATTGCTATCGCAAACTCTACTGTCATAATAAATCTTTCATATAAGAACCACAGTGAAAGCATTAGTATGTAGCACAACATGCAGTGATGCACAACAACATGTCACAAGAGTTTAGGGCAGTAAAGAGAGCTTGCAGGCCCTCACTCAGAGTCTTAGCTTATGGCTCATGAGGAACATCGTTGCGCACAAGACTCATCATTGCGTGCAACCACAGGAAACGAAGAGCTACAACTGAGGTTGCCGGCACTAGCAACATTCTGTCAGCCCAGAATGTAGAACTTTCTCGGTTGATGACGATGACATCGCAGAGTTAGATACTGTTGATTTAGGATGGGGAAACAAAGGCACAGGCAAGTATTGCCAGCTCCGTCACACTATGCCTTTCTGAACCCGAAGTGCAAAGTCTGCAAGGATCTGTGCTTTTCATTCAGTTCAGTGCCTCGGGTCTCAGCTTTCTTAGGGAAAGCTGCCTCATATTCCAGCGTGTAAGAAATCTATTTTGGGTGTCATTACCACATCTCTGATCCACGTAAATCTGGAAGAGGAGGAAGTTCTTGTCTCCTGAGTGACTCACATTTCCTTCATTTGTATTCATTTTAGAAAAATTTTTTTTTAGGTACGAGCAATTCTGCATCAATTGGAACAAGCGGGAAGGTGAGAGGTTTGGCAGAGCAGAGCTCTCCCCTCTGTAGTACTGTGTTCCCCCTGAGCAAATGTACACTTACCATCAACGTGTTTTAGTTTGGATCTGTTGAATTCTAAATGTTTAGGTTTTTTATCAGAAAAATGATGGAGTTTACCTGAATTTGTGGATGTCTGCTCATTCAGTGGCAATCTTACCTGGGAGTTCTCTTTCATCCTGCTGACTGCTGAAAACTGATGGGTTCAGTGTATTACTGCTATTATATTGACTGAAGGGTGCCACAGATAACGATAGCAATTTGTCTTTTTACATTGTTTCCTATGTGAACCGGTAGAATTTCTGATAATATGGCTGGATTTGCAAATGCATGTTCTTATTCTGCCATGAAAATGACTTTTTTTTTTCTCCCTACATGGCACTGTTAACCAGACAATGTAGCTAGGAATTTATTTATCCTGCAACCTGTGGAGCTGAAGACAAAGGAAAATGCTGACTGAATGATAAGGACTTTCTTCCTTTGTGGCCAATACATCAAGATTCATTGCATGTAGCAACCTTTGTGCCCCTTATTCAGCTGTAAACATGAAGGTATCTACTGTACAACTGCAGTCATAATGTGCAAGTGGAGAGGGGCTGTAGCTGCCTTAGTTACAATACTCTGGCTATCTAGGAGGCTGTATGTGGAGTCTCCCGTGTGAAATATGTTTGCCATCTGTGAGGTACTGGGACTCTGTGTTTTAGGCTTTTGGCAGCTCAGAGCGTAGGAAACGCTGGAACTGGAACCTGTAGGGTTGGGAAGGCTACTGACGTGTCCCTGTCTGTTTGGAAGTGCCCTGGGAGGTGCGGAAGCATTTACCAGCTTGTCTGTTCCATCTGCTTTTTTAGCTGACAGCTCTGTCACATAGTCTGCAGGAGGATCTTTAAGCTCTCCAGAGACAGCAGGACAGGGATTGCAAATTATATCTATTTGGGGCACCCTGCTTACCTGTCAAGGAATCCGGACTGGGATCTCCTAGGAGATGACAGTGTGTAGGATGTCATCTGCATCACTGATGTGGCGTGGGTAACTGGGCGGTCACCTTGGACAGGCACGATGTTATGGCTGTTTCAAAGACCCTCTTTGTGGGAGTGTTTGGTTTCTTCTGTTCCTAGTGAATCCTACAGTGCATTGCGCTCTTGCATATTGTTTCTTTTGCGTAGTATAGCCTGACTAGCAGCACAAGCAAAGTTTGTATGAGCCTGGTACTATAGGAAGCTTCCTACCCTTCTATTTTTCTTGTTCCAGCTTTGTTGCATGTGCCTCGTGAGGTTACAGATATGAGATATTAAATAAATGCAGTAACAATAAGAAAGTGGAGCAGGACACTGCGCAGGCTGAAGTGCATTTATCCTCTCTGGTGCCTGCAATGCCCACAATATGTTAAATGCATAACAATATTTGATCTGTATTTCTCAAACACAACCTGGCATTACCAATTAAAGAAAAGAAATCAAAATGTAGGGCAGGTGATGTGATATCCTCGGGGAACTAAGAACAAACAGTCTCCAATCTAGTAGTGTCTGTCATAGCAGAGTTTACTTTCCCAAGGTCAAAGTTTTCTACTATAGCTTCTTTATCGCTCTCTCTGTAAAAGAGCCTCTCCCCAAAGCACAGGTTGCCCAAGTGATGCTCCAGACAGGCTCTGAGAGAAAACAAAACTCGAGAAGACTGGACATCTTCAGTCTTAACCCATGTGTGCCATGACCACAGTGAGAAAGAGCTGTTGGACTGTACCTTCCCATGGATGAAAAGGATTTCAGTTTCCAGAGTTGGCAGTCTCACATGACTGTGTCCTTAAACAGGCAGGAAATTGGATGCAGTGTGATGACTGCATGGCATGAAGGTGTTTTTCTGTAACTCTGAGGTGAACTCCCTGGATATACCTGCCTTAAAATGTATTATTCTTTAAACATTCTGTCTAAATATTCCTGATGAAAAATAAGTGGTTTTTGCATGGTTAAATTATCTGCTATGCAGAGACCAGGAATGGGAAGGGGTACAAGCGAGCTGTACATGTGCAAAGTAAAAAGGGAGGTTGTGTTTTTTAATAAAACTGCATTGTGTAGAGTACTCCTACCAGGTGCAAAGATGCTGTTGTAAGTTGCTGAGTAATTTGTGTATCCGTGTTTGTGGCCATTTTCTGTTTAAGAGGGGCATTGCCGGTGTGGTTCTTTACTGAAACTGGTTGCAATATGGGCTAAGCAGGACCAAAATACTCCAACCTAATGGAATGACTTATATGAGCTCTCAAGAAAGTCCCTTTTCTGAACGGAGGAAAATTGGCTGTAGGCAAAAGGACATGTCACTGCTCATAGTTCTGTTTCTGGCATCTCAGCAGGGTATAAGGCATGTTACTGCTTATAACACCCTGGCTACAGAAAGGGTTTACTAGGCAGAGATCAGAGGAGAAATAGTCAAGTTGGCAGTAATTTGTGCTACTAATTTTTTGGGACAAATCTGTGTGTTTGCTTTCTCATTTTAGATTAAATGCTCTGTTAAATCTAAACGGGATGCTTAACCTCACTTCCTAAGGAAAAAAGGCTTACTACAATCTGTGTCTGCTGTCTCTGCTGTTTTGAAACCATGACTTTCAACCAAGTTTGACAGAGATGGAGATTTCAGGAAGACCTAAGTTCATACCAGCCTTGTGAAAACAGGGGACCTCATTGAGAAATATTATCCCAAGTAGCATACTGGTAGGAATGGGTTTGTGAGAGAAAGAAAAACAGTATGAAAAGCATAGCAAAGGAAAAAGCTTGGCATGATGCTTAGACTGTAAGATGTAAATCTTGCATTATTCTGTTCCTGACTTTTTCTCAGAATAATGACTTTTAAGTGTTTTGATTTCATACGTGCTTCAATCAGGATTGCATGTCATGCCAGATGGGAGTTTGCAAGTGGGAAAGTGAGGCAGCGCTGCTGAATACGCTGTAAATCCATCTCTGAATGCAAATCATTACACTAATAGAGCTTATTGTCCTTCCTGTTTCTGCTCCAGTGCTACACAGTTACATTTTTGGTGTAGTTAAAATAGTGTAACTTACTGGTAGGTCCTGACTGCATGTAGCGCTTTTTGCTCAAAAGAGCAGTTTTGCTCAATAGAGCAATTAACCTTGTTGTCTTGGACAATGTTGCTTCCTTACCCTCCAGTTTTAATTTTCACTAATGCATTTCCTTCCATTCACCCTGAAGATGTGTCACTGACGTTGCTATTGTGATACTGCTACATCTCAGTGATAGGGGAATGTTTCCGTATGTAAAATTCTGAAACCTCTTTAAACACAAGGCATGATAATATAACTGTAAGTTAAACATCAGAGCAGGATCTTTTCTTTTCTTCTAACCCCAGCTTGTCAGGCTTGTTGGCGTTTTCTTGAAGGCAGCTACAATTACTTATATACCTTGAGTTTGTCCCTTGGTAAAACACCAGCCACCCTATTAAATAGTGTATGATACACTATAAGGTAAGAACACCTTTGTTTTCATGAGAAGCGTATTAATAATTGACAGCTCTGTGCTGTTTGCCTGTCAGGATCTGTCTTAGCTAGTGGCTTAAGTATGTGAACCCTTTTATGGAGCACTGAGGAAGGTATAAATTTGCCATGAGACATTCCACCGACTTTGAGCGGTGCTGTTCAGATCGCTTTCCAAAAATCACATGACTGTTTTTTCTGAAAGGAGGCAGGATTGTGTGAATTCCCCAAATCAAACAGAAAAGCTTATTCTAGGGATGCTTTTCAGTGCTATTCTGGGGGGGTGCAAACATTGTTTCTTTAATTCTTTCCTTTATTGTAAGGCAAAATCTCTGGTTGTTCTATCAGAATTAAACTTCTGCTCCATCCCAGTGTCCGTACCTCGGGAGGGTTGAATATGACACTTAAGCCATTACTAGAGGGATAATCATTTTCTGTTAAACAAACTCATCTCTTCAATTTATTTTTCCTAGGAATTAATTAGCCTTCAATTTTTAATGCATTGGGCCAGGACACTCAGATTTAGAGCCAAACAAGAATAATGCAGATTTTTGTCAATCTAGGTTTCCCAGATTGTGTCCACTTCTGGTCATTTTCAGTTACTATATAAGAAAATGAAATCAGAAAGCTTTAATGCCAGAAAGAGGTTTTGCTTTCAGGGAAGAGAGCTCTTGTTGTTGATGCCAAAGCTCATACAGTCCGGGCTGATGGCAGATATTCTCCCAAATTCACCAATGTTATGATTCGTGGCTCACTTGTTAACCCCACTGACTTAAAGAGAAGAACTGATCAAAACCTACTTTTAAAAAAGGATTGAAGTGGCTGATAGCCATAGTCAGGATAGTCGCTTAGTGAATGTCATAGAATACATTTGTAAGACCATTACAATGCTGAAGTTCAAATACACTGCTGATCCCTCTAGGACGATGTCCTTTTCCTGCTTTCTTAATTTCCAAATCAAGCAGGCAGCCCATGAAATGCCTGAACTCCCTCGAGGCCAGAACTCCACCTTCTGCCGACAACGGGGTGCCATCAATGATACGGGAGATAAGACAGGGCACAGTGGCCTGCAAGCCCTAGATAAAGATGCGGTGGGTTCCTCCTTTCCTCTTCTTTCTCAGGGATCTTTTAGAGTTACTCTGGGTGGAGTTGCATGCAGCAGTAATACTGCCAGTGCTCAGCTATCAATGCTTTAAGCCCTTTAGCTAAGAATGAGGGAGAAGCATCACCAATCAGAACGCTGGCCTGTTGGTTAAGGTACTTTATGTCTGTAAAGTGGGAATAATCCTTTTATCTACTTCATCTTGTTTATGTAACATGTAGGGTCTCTGTGGCAAACTCTGCAATAGCCAGAATGAATTGTGAAGGCCTGTGCTTTCAACAGCGTTAAAACAGTCTGTTTTAATTAGAACTAATCAGTGGTCACACTAAGGGCAAATAGTCATCTGCCCTTGTGGTAGAAGACATGCTAACATACGCTCCACCTCCCTGGAACAGATGCTGGGCAGAAATGTAAGCCTATTACATGTGACTCTAATTTCATTTGGGCTGTCTGGGTGCTATGAAAATACTACTGAGCGTTTACATGCACAAGGTGAACTCACACATATGGGTAGTTAGTCTGAGACAGCTGTGCCTGTTGTAGGTTACCCATGTGGGTGTATCTTCCTTTGTGAAGATTTAAGTCCCTTTAGGCTTTTTGTATCAAGGAAAGGAATAGAGGAATGGGAGAATATTAAGTAAACAAAAGTAGGAAGGGTTAAAATTGTTTCTTTCTCGTTATTCTGACTGTGAATGCTTTGCCCATAAATGTATTATTGAAAGTGAGAAACGCAAATTATATAGAATCATACTGTACCTCTTCAGGCACCGCTGATCTCCTCCAGCAGCACAGACTTAAAGCCCCTATTACCCCAAAAGACCATATTTCATTTCTAAAAATAGTTATAATCAGTGTGATGCTTTGCGGAGTTTGGGGCACATATTACATCTTGTTCTTCAACTTTTTATTTAAACTGTGTGCACTCAAAAGCACAATCATTTTGAGGTATTGTTATTACAGTAGCTATGTCTCAGGTGCTATCCAGTAATAAGCAACAAAATTCTGTCATCAAAGCTCTCATTAAACCACCATCAACCATCTTCTGGTCTGGAAAGGTTGCATCCCCCCCTCTGTCTTCACATGGCCTGGAAGGTCTCAGCTGACGTCCTTTTAGCTATGGCAGCAACTTCAGATACCAGTTGTCCCAAATCTCCCCGCAGTGGTCGAGGCCAGGCCGGCTGACACAGTGTCAGGAGGACGTTTTGCTCAGAGGCTGTCAGTGCTGGATCTCCTTATTAGTAAATCAGTAAGACTGCAAGGGTTACTGACTGGACTTTTCCATTAATTGCATGGCCAAGTGAATCTGTACATGCTGCAGTGAGCCTCTGAATGGTGGCAGAGGAGTCATGTTTTTCCTAATTTTCTGTCATTCCTCCTTTTGTGTCGTTTTCTTGGACATTTTTTTCCTAAACAAAGCATCCAGTGTACTCTTTCTACCTCAAACTTGCAAACAGTGTTGGAATACGAAGTAAATAAAGGTGAATATATTCATCCTTCTAGAATGTCATATAAGTAGTTGTCCATTCATGAGATTCATTCCGCTAATACTCATTCTTTTGTGGATTTTGCTTTGTTCTTTGTTTCAGTATGTTGTGACACCAAGACGGCAGTCTACAGCTATAGCCCTGCAGATTTTGGTGAGCCATTTGCTGGGAGATGCAGGCAGCCCATATCTCATTGGGATTGTAAGTGAATTCTCTGCTTATTTGAGCTTTCTTTAGGGTAAAGCTTTTAGAAACTGAAAGACAGACTCTTGCAGAATTCTAGACAATTCCTGGTCCAAAGCTAGAAATTATTCAAGTTGGTGGTCTTGATACTGGAAAGCAGACGCAACAGAGTGTTGAGCTGTGATTGCATGAGACTAGGAAAAAAAGGGAAGAAACTTCATATCCTTTCCAAAAATTACTAAACATTTCAATGGACAAAATGGGATGCCATTTAAAATTTTGATTGGAATATGCTCTGAAAATATTGTATGTGCTAGTTTTATTTTTAATGCCTTTGAGCCTTTGAAAATTGCACTGACATGCAGCGATATTTACATGAATGTTAAGTTTGTTAATCTCTGAACCTTATGAAGCTGCTTGGCTTCTGCACACATAGCTATATATGTAACTTTGAGACTGTATGCTTTATAGTTAATTTTAGCTGTGGAATTCCTAAAATTAGCTGAGAAGAACTTTCCTAGAGAATTTCAAGTTATGAGACACAGTGGCTGGTCATGTCTTGCCAAAGAGATTCAAATTCTAGAATATGACTGGCTTTTTTAAAAGAACAACTCCCTCTCCCCAAATTTGGCAACTGAAAAGCTAAGAAGCTAAAGTTTGCTGTCAGATGCCTGATGAGTCTGGATTGTAACAGTCTCTATGAAACCGTGCAACTCCGAGGTGAAGACTAGCAGTGTTTAATTCAGTCTTTATAAGGTTCTTTGTACAAGTAAGCAGGGCAGAGTTAAGGGCAGATGAAGAGATCACTTTACTCGTTGGAGTATACTATGAAACTATTGCCCTAGCGCTGATTTGGCTGTAAGCATGGAAGAAGATAATAACCAATATCCCTGTGTCATGAAAAGTCACTGAAACAACACACAGAAGTGGGAACTATCAGTAAAACTGAAATACAGCTTGTGCATTCTCCCCTCCTTGAATATGCTAATGAATTGTGCTTCCTGCCTGAAAGATGAAAATGTTTGTCTCTCTTACTCACAGTTCTTTGCCATCTTTGAGGCACAGGTAGAAATGGGGCTTCCTGTTGAATGTGCTGCTGCGTCCTGCTAGTAACTGTGTGCTGAATGCTTCTGTATGGAGTACCTTGCAGGCAGCTGCCTTAAATAGCAGCTAATTGAAAAGTGTGAAGACAAAAAAAAGTTTGCCATGGTATATACCAATAAGATTATCCTCACATAACCTTGCAACTTTGCAAAGAACAGAGACAAAAAGTCCAGGACTGAAACTGTTGCATGTCCAAGTGGGGTCCTGCGTGATAAGCCCAACACTGTGTTCTGGAATGCTTCTGTGAACCAGTATACCAAATCCGCCCATGTCTGCTGTTGCTTAAACACTGAATTTTCTGCATTCAGGTCTTGCTATTGTTTACTAACCGTCTTTAGCTAACCCCTTAGCTTAAAAGCTGTCTGGAGAGTCAGGGAATAGTCTTCCTCAGAGTCTGTTTTTTTCCCTTTGAGCTCTAGAGATTTCCCTACCGAGCATTTTAAAATTAAATGCATTTGGTTTGCATTTCAGCCATTATACTTGCTATAGTCCCTGGGTACCCATTTAGAGTTGATCTTGCTCTTATCTGCCTAAACTGTCATAAATAATCATATTAAACCAAGCAAAGGTTGAAGAGTCTCATACTTGTGTATCTCAAGTCACGTAGCATATTGTAGCTATCGGGGACAAATGCGGAATAAAAATTACTGCATTCAACATTCATCTTTTGATTTTATACTAAGATTCATGGATTAAGTATTGAATCTTACTGGGTTTCTTGAAATCAGCTTTTCCTTCTGTCTACAAAAATAAAATTAATGTGGATCATTTATAGCTTTTACAGTCTCATTCTACAGCCAGTGCAAAAAGCTGCTGCCTGATTTCGTCTTCCCAGTTTCTCATAATGTCACTCCGTGACTCCTCAAATGCCTTTTGGCTCAAAAGCAGACTCCAGTCTTGTCTCTGAAATCAATTTCCAGGCCTTCCCTTTTTTAATGAGTGCTGTTGCTTGTGCCTGTAACTGATGCCAGTCCCTTGTTTCTATCCATTTGATGCTGATTAGGGATGTATCGATAAAGTTATCAAATAACATCAAGAAATGATAATAATTATTGCCAAATGTGAAGTCTGCTCTGTGCTGTCTATCTGGAGATGGGCTAGAAAATGGTAAAAGAGCCAATGCTTCCTGGTTGGAAAATAAAGCAGAAAAACAGAGCAGAGTCTGAAAGCATCAAAAGGCCATGGTTGCAGTATCTCCAACTCCTGAAGATATAAAAGAAGATGAAATTCTTAGATCAAATGGAAGCTAAACGGTGGAGAAGCATAGATGCACTGGGTACTGGATTTGACAAATGCTGGCAGTCAGCTTTTCTTCCCCATCTGCCCAGTTCTGTTCTTTTCAATGACCGCACTGTAAACAGTCTGCTTAAACCAAAAGCATGGTATTATTGCAGATAAATGACAGCATCCTTCCCTCCCTAGATCTCTAATGCTATTCAGGCCAAGAATGCTGACTCATTCCAGTGGCGTTTCTGGAGCCTGCAGTACAGCTTCATCATGTGTGCATTTGTTGGTGTCTTCGGAGGAAGTTTTTTCCTCCTGACGTCTCTCTACATTGAGGAAGATCGTAAGGAAGCAGAGCAGCTTTGAGGTTTCTATATGTCTTTATAACTTTTAAACATGTATCTGATTGTTTTCTGTTTGTACCCTAGCCAAGGTAATGACTCTGTAAATTTACAACACAAATGTCCATATTTTGCTAATGGCACAATAGTTTTTATATGAAATAAAGGCAAAACTCCAGCCAAAGTCTCAGATTAAGCAGATCTCCTATATTGAGCAAAAGAGACTTTGCAAAACACACAAACATCAGGGTAGTACTATTACTGACACCTTCACAATGCTGTAGTATAGGGAGGTAATAAAATAGCTTTACTGTAAGCAATGCACCATTAAAGACTTCATGGAAAGTGTGAGTCTTCCTCTGCTCTGGTCTTTCCGAGCCCAGTAGAATAATTCCTAGCTCTCTGTAATACTTCTCCCTTTTGCCTGAAATAAGTCATATTCACAATGTAAAAGACAAAGAAAATATGTTAGAGGATGGAACACTGTTCTTAATAGCCTGGATTCATATAGCTTCCTTCTGCTCTGACTTGGTTTTCTAGGTACCAGGAATGAAGGCTTGTCTTTCAAATGAAGATGAACTCCAGGGCAAGATATGTAAAGAAGAAGAAAAGAACCTCCTCCCCTTTTTCTTTCCTTTTTGCTTAATGAGATACAGTTAGAGAAAAGGCCAAATAACAATTCCTCCATATGGCAGAAAAACCTGCATACTGACTTTTTGGATGCTTTTGACTGTGAGTCAAAAATTGTTACTGAATTGGCATATGGCAACGCTCCCCCCATCTGCGAAACAGGCGTGAGTATGCTGTGGCGCTCCAGAAGGCAGTGTATAGAGCTGTCACAGGCATGACTGTTAACCTAAACAAGACAGCAGCATTTAAGGCACAATGTCTAGTGAAGATTAGGATGGGAGACCTATGAATTCTCAGCAGGATAAGATTTGCCTTTAGAATTTGGAAAATGCGGATAGTACAAGCAATATTTTCAGTCATCTGAAATGACCGAGAGAGGCAGAGATTAGTCAAGGTCAGTGTCAGATTTGAGAGTGGAGGGTTGTCATGATTCTACGTGTAATATGTTCATGGCTTCTTTATAATCCTTTGAGGCTCTTACCTTGTATCCTGTAGTATAAGTATCCTGTGCATAAGTGAACAGTGGTAGGGGTAAAACCACTTAAATATAACCATCCGGTCGAGCGCTTATATCTAAAGTGCCTAACACTTTGGATATGGTATCTGTTGTCATAATATCACGCCAGGTGCCAAGTGTGACGATTATTTTGGCCCACTTTCATTGCCTGAGGTGTTGTGGTTCCCAGCAGTGCCTTAAAGCCAAAGCCTGAGGAAGACCTTAGCAAGTGCTAGCATTGTGAATCTTACCTGATTCTCCCAGTAAACCATAAGGATCATAAAGCACAAAATTCTTCTAATGAGTGTGACTAATGTCATTATAAATAGTATAATTTAGCAACTTCAGTTTTGTTTGTTCTCTCTCTCATTTTTTTGAAATCTGTTCTGAAACTTGACTTAAACCCTAATAGTCAAATTTGGCCAGGACTTAGGCCATTATGGAAAATAGGAGAAATGCTCTTTTGTGATACTCAATGAGTGTAAGAATTTCCTTAAAAGTAAAATCTGGTATTCTGAAAGACTGAGCAACTCTTTCTGGTTGTAAAAGGTAGCCAAAGCCATTACACCACTATCTTTTTGGAAATGCTTGTGTTGCCCAATGGCCTACACCCAGTAAGGGATTCTCAGTATTGGATGTGGACGGATCAGCTTGTATAGGTCCTAAGTGCTTTTTTAAAGCATTTTTGCAGACTATTTTTTAAGCTACATGGTAGCAATATTTGAATTGAAACCTTTTGCATGTATTTGGCAGACCTGAGGAAATCTGTAGCATTTGTCTTCCAGCTAGAGCAAGAACAATTCACTTGGCACCAGTTCCATTGTTCTTAACACAATGCCTCATTATGCAATGAATTTGGGAGGTCTAAAGGCAGTCTTTAAGGCCTTCTGAACTCTCCATACACTTGAGATTGGACTTGCAAGAGCCTGAAATTCATCTAGGTACACTGTTACTGTGCCATTTGTGCTGTTTGAAGATAATCCAAGTAACTCTGGCGAACTGCTACTTGGTGAAGAAGCTGAATTATGAGGGGAAGTGAAATTCACTAATGTTATATTTTGTACAACAGTATGTTTACTAGATAGCATTTATTTTTGCATCACTTTTATGCCCAGAAAGTGATGGAAGAGTTCAGTGACAGGGGCACATCAATATTTGAGGCCATAAAATAGTATGCATTTTGCTGAATTCTCTGATCTTTGCAGGTGGACTACTTAGTGCCAGATCCTTTCTTTGTATTTTATTGAAATTTCTGGGAAGCTGAATATAAGGTCACTGCTGTAAAGGTTTGCATTGTGCTTCAAGTCTTTTGGGCAGAGCATGTATGCTTGTAAATGTACAGCCTAATTATGAAACTGGGGATATTGATATTAGCTAATGATTTATTTCTGGTAAAGAACTCATTTTATAAGGTAACCTGATTTAATGAAAGGTGTTGAGCTTAGATTCATGGGGCTCAATATCGGCAACAGAATCACAAGGTTCTATCTCCATGTTGCCAAACTCTGGAGATAAAGATTGCAACTTCTAAATTCACTGACAGCTGCAAACCAGATGTCCCCAACACCACAGCTGATTCCTTAAAACTCAGGCAGGCAAGCCAAGACCTTGAGAATCATTTTTCCTGTTACTCGGCTGTGGCAGAATTTAAGCAGCTTGATAATTCTTCTCTATTGGCACATTCGTGATTTGTCCTGTAAATAGATGATTTATTTCTCACATTTGTTAAATCAGCATTAAACTCTCTTTAAAAAAAAATTCAAAACCTGTATTTGGAATACTGCAGAGGCATTCCTTTGACATATGAGCAAGAGCTGCCAAATGCTGTTCTGTAGATGGTACATGAAGTCCTTGACAAACTCGTTCTAACTCCTACTTCTTATCTCCTTTGTGAAAGTCAGTGGCTAGAAACTAGCAGGGTCATGCTGACTAGTTCACTTATATCTTTCCAAATGCTTTTCTGTTTTCTTTGTAAAGTAAGGGGAGAGGATTTCTATTATTTTTAGGTTTTTTTCCACATTTCAGCAAGACTAACCGGCCAAGAGGCTGGAAGCTCTGAGTTATGCCTGGGCCTCCCTGGAATTGCCCAATCCTCTGGCTTGATGAGAACTGTTGACTCAGAGGTCTTGCAAAGGTACGATGATGGTAAGACACAGCCCAGGGAGGCTCTGCCTCCAAGGGAGGGAAACTGTTTCCATCATCCAGAATTTTTACAAGGTATTTAACCTGTCTGATATTTTTCTTGCATATTTGCCTGACCAGATCTTCAGTGACTTTCTTCTTGGCCAGCAGATGAAATATTAAATGAGAATGTAACCTCCTTAATAGAATATATAAAAGCAGTCAAATTTCTTAAAACTTTCTGCAGATCTTGAATTTGCTTCTCAGCAGGCAGCACCAGATTCATGCACCATGAAGGGGTCAGTGCAACAGCCTCTTAGTGCTGGAGAGGGCTTTTGTGCATTTTAGCTATTTAAGACATTAGGCTTTTTGCATGCCATTAAAGCAAAAATGAGTGGCTTGAATAAGTAAGTTATTTAAGTTGCAGCACTGGAAAAAGCTGCTGCTGGAAGCTGAAAGCTATTATGACAGTTTGTTCTGCAGTATTTGAGCCACTTGGAATCTGTGTGACTTGCAGCACACAGTCCGTGGGAAGACCCACTTTGTCCCTTGCATCAAACAAATGACAGTTGAACAAGCTGACAAAGCTGTTGTATGTTCTGTAACTGTTCATATGTTCACCTCCTACCTTTACCATTTTTTCCTCGTTCTTTCCAACTAAAATAGTGGATAAAAGGCACTTTGGAATTGCTCCAAAAGATGTGGTTTTATAAGTCCACTCAGGTAATGATTTTGATCTTTTCCTCTTCCTCCTCTTTCATCATTCTGCAAAGCAGGGACATGGCATTGATATTGACCTTTTGTGCTGTTTATGTGGATTTTTTTTTTAAGGAAGCTTTAGAGCTCTGCATAAAAATTGCCTTCAGAATCGTGATTACTTTTGGCTTCTGCTAAATGCCTGAACAGGCATCTAGTGGGCAGGACATATCTAAGATACACAGTACTGTTATGTGTAAGTACTTCTCTGGAGTGATTCATTCCACCAGACAGGATGCTGATGTGTGAGATTGCTATCAGCAGAATATTAATTTTCAGAAATCTCTCATGTAACTTTTTATTTCCCTCCCTAGCCTCTCCCCAAAAAAGTAGCCCTGTGGCTGAAGGTGGGCAGATGGCACACTGCGGCTTTCCAGCCTATGGATTTATGCATTCTGTCTAGGCTGCTCACTTCTAAGAAGATCTTGTGTTTAATTCCTCTTTGCCCTAATCACTCATGCAGCTGAATTGTCTTGCAAAATATTTTTGCAGCCCAACTGCGATCCTTTATAGTGCTACTGGTGTAGCCATATGTGTCAAAAGCATCCTTTAGCTTAGAAGACAGAGCTCAGGGTTGCTGCTGTCATTGTGAAGGACCTGTGCTGAGGCAGGGTCCGTTATGACTGTACTGTCCCTGATGGCTGTTTTACTAACTCCTTCTTAGGCTCCTCTGAAGAAGACTTCATCACCTTCATAGGTGGTCTGTTTCAGTACTCCCTTACTGAAGAATTGGCACTTTCCCCCACGCTATCTTAAGTAAAATGTTTTGTTGTAGAATAACTGACTGAATTCTGTCTTGATGTCCACCTTAGCTTTTGTCTTCCCTTCTACTTCCTGCATTGTGTAGTCACTAGAAATTCACGTAGTGACTTTATTGTTTGCTATATATGTCCTTTAAGTTCAGAATCTGTAGACTAATTAACTGATTCCTGCTTGGAAAGAAAGCTAAAGGGAACAGACACTGTCCACCTGAGAAACAGCATCAAATGAGTACAGAAAGGCCAGATCAGCCAATTTATGCTGTAGCTGATCTAAGCTTTTCTGTAGTAGTAGATACATCATCTCTGCTTTTGCGCCTTCCCCTCCTCACATTAAAATGTGGATGGAGTGTCTGTTGAAATAGGTTTTGAAATAACTAAGAATCCTAGAAATCCTCCATTAACCCAGAGCCTTTGTGGCAAAAGTTTTCTTCAGATATCTTTTGAATGTGTTGCTTTGCAAGCATCGCTCACTCTGCAGGCCTCCTTGCAGTACTGAGTTCTCCTCAGTAATGCTAGTTAGCACTGGCTGTGACTTGGACGCTCCTTCCCCTAGGACCCAGAAAGAATTCACCTGCTCCCTCGATGTAGGCAAAAAAAGTGATGAAACAAAAATGCTTTTGGGTCCCTGCCAAGTTGTGCTGGCATTCAAGTAGATGGTACTGGCTGCATTTCAATACAAGACAGCCAGTGGGTTCATCTGGGTTCTCCTATAATTATCTTCCTTGTAATCCAATAAAGTCTTGGAGACGTTCTTAGGAAGCTTTTATTTTTAAGGGAAACAAAGGTTGATATGAACAGACTCTTGTTTCTATTGCTGTATAGCTGATCAAATTTGCATTGATCTCATTTTGTGTAATTTAATGTTTGCATAAAAGTTTTGTTCTTAATATGTAAATTGGCTATGTATTCTGCAGTAATAAAATGGCTGTAATTTTGAGAGATTAATGAAAGTGTTATTGAATCCCACTGTAGAAATAATCCTTTGTAAATGCACTATTAAATGTATATGGAATTAGGAATGCAGCTGAATCCCAGTAGGCTTAACCCTTCCAGTGGAGTTAGAACAGGACTCCAGAAATGTGCATTGTCTCCATAAAATCAGAATCCTGCACGATGCACAAGTGTGACCTGTATAGGACTTGGGTTATATTGTAGTACTAAGATATGACTTTGTCTGCTCATATACTGTGGTGCTTTTGTTCCTACATCTAATATTTCTCCATATTGTTAGGAAAAAATGCCTTTAAATGGAGTTGAAAGGTAAATTCATGCAGGTATAATTTTCTTTTCAGTGTTTAATGTGTTGGGCAGTAGGCTTGAAACTGATGTAAAAAGGATGAAGGTAACTGTTTTTGAAAGAATTGACTTCAAGGTAGCTATTTAATTCCACCTTGATGTGTCCTGCTAAGTGGCCTGATTCTTTTCTTTCTTCTTTCCCTTCTTTTCAAAGAGCCTCACATCCCTCTGTTCCTAATGAAGGCAAGCTGAGCAGCTGTGTGTTCAACCCTCAAGAAAATCAGGCCATTTACTTCAAGACTTAATTATGTGTTTAGGAGCCTAATCTTAGGCACCTAATTTTTGAAATCTTTGTTGCAGGCTTTTGTTTTCAGAGATGTCTCTGACACTTAGGGAAATGCAGGTCTATGAGTACTTCTTAATATTCCGTCTGTAACTGTTGCAACTATTAACTACTTTATGGTTTTTGCCACGATAGTTTGTTTTCAGTGAATGAACTTGTTCTCTGTGTGTATTGGCAACCTCCATTGCGGAAGAGAAGTCCTGCAGTACGTCAGAGCTGGGAGCAGAGCTGTAGTAGGAGAGAACATGAACTGAAAAAGAGCACCAGAGTTCTTCCACAAGGTCTTGCTGAGAATACTTCCTCAGTGGAACCAGATGAAAAGTTGCTTTTTCGACCCATTTGGATAATGCTGTGGATTCATTGGTATTAGAATAAAATGTGGATTAGATGATTGCAAAGGAAAAGCCTCCCCATTTCTGCTTTTTATGGGCATTGTAGGAAGACACCCTCATGACAGGATGTAAGAGAGGCATGTGGATATGCGCATAGAGGTGAAGAGGAGATGTGATACATGAAAAATGCTGATGAAGCAATCTAGTTCCTTTTATACTAAATATATTAGTCTATTTTTTTATGCTAGGAATGGTTAGAGATGGTGCACCTAGAGCACTTGGCAAGTGGCAGCTAGATAGTGTTTAAGCAATATCTTATCCTAGAAAATTATGTTCATGGTCAAATTTTTATCACAGAAGCCAATGCAAGCCAGCAGTCTCTCCCAGTCCTCCCTCCGATTGATCTGGGTAACCTAAAACAATTCAATAGGAATTATGTAGTAAACTCTTGAGCAAGAGAACTGTTTTTCTTTGGCCCTTTGTTTGCCTAGGAGTAATGAAAGACAGAGCTGCTTGCCTGATCCATAAAGTGAGGAGGCACAGCTCCTAAAGAGAATTGCAACTGGAGTTCTATCTTTAGAAAGGTTATAACTGGGTATCAGATATGCATATCTCCAACCTGTTCACCTGGTCACACTGTGCCGTCTGATCTTCCTCTAATAAATGTGATTCATTATTATATCTGCTAAGCGCATGCAAGTGGGAGAATGTCAGGAAGGAAGCAGATGCAGTTATTTTCATACCAGCTGCTTTCTCCTGTAAATTTAGTTTATATTGTTAAACAGTGTCGTGTTGTCTTAGGAGGTCCGTGTCTCCTGACTTAGTGCAATGACTAATGTTTTTTGTTGCACTTTACCAGAGACTCAGAGTGCTACTGGAAAGGGTGGGACCGACAGAAACAACAGGATTGACGCATAGACATCAATGGCTTTGAAGGAAGTCAGTTATCTGTGTCTGAGGGAGAAGAAAATCTTCATGCTAACTGGGGATAAAGGGATTTGCCATGCCACCTTTATTGAGGAACTTGTGTCTTTTTTTAAGGGCAAAGTATGTGAGGAAAGGGGAAAGAATTGCAGTTGCTGATGTTCCCTAAGAAGCCAACATTTGACAGAAAAGAATAGCTTGTCAGAGTGAAAAGAAAGATCTAGTAAGAAGCTGAAAGCTCCCTAAAGGGGATGTGAGGCCACAGGTTTTCTTGCAAGAATGTTTGTTTTTTTGGTATCCCCAGCAATTCCAGAGTAGACTTCTTTAACTACGAGTAAGTACATTTTGCTACTTGGGCTTTGCAACCTTGTCCTAGAACCAAGCTGAGCTGCCTTCTTTTTGGTGCCTGTTTTTCTTGCTGGTGCAAGAAACATCTGCACTCCAGTGATGCTGCAGAGGGGTAAGAACAGCAACCAAACGCTTCCTCCTCATAATAGCCTTCAATCTGTAATTCTGTTGGCCCTGGAGAGCCAACGTAAAAACTTATTTGGCAAGATTATGAAGTGGCCAGAACACAGGCCTCAGTCAGCTTTGAATGGAGGGGTTGTAATATTTCCAAGGAGTACCTGCATGTGTTGGATGTTTTGTATATGCTGAAGGCAACAGAGATTGCTAGAGAGCCAGTTCAAGTTGTTTGTTTTTTCCTTCCCGGTCAGGCTTTGCTCCGTCCCATCCACCGCTAGCCAAAAGCTGTCACAAGGGGTAACGCTATCTTTTCTCTTTGGGCTTCTCTCCACTCCAAAATGCCTCACTCTTCAGATACCATCTGAGGAAAGGTAAAAGGGCTTGATGAGCACACAGCTGAGAAGTATCTCACCTTACTGTAAGAATGTGCCTTTGCTCTTGTTGCCTCTTAAGCCTTGGAGCCATGGCTAAAGAAGAGCGATTACACCAGCCAGGGCGTGTCAAGAGGCCAACGTGAAGTTATCATCAATGTGAGGGTGAGACCTCTTAGCAGACAAGGCTGACGAAGAGCTGGTACTCAGCAAAGCCATGAGTCAGATGGAGAGAGGGCCGGCAAGCGTTCAGAGAAAGCAGTGGAGTAGAAAGGCAGGAAGCAGCTGGCAGTGTAGGAAGAAATGAATAGTAATAGGAAAGAACAGGAGGAGGACTGCGGAATGAGAAATGTCCTTGTTCATGCTCTGACATCCAACATCCCATTCAACAACAATGACATTAGGATTTCAATGAAATGTCCAAATTGATTTGTTTCTTTAAGGGATTTATTTTAATTCTTCACTAAAATAGGAGATATATGTGCATTTCCCCTTCTAGCCCTCTACTGTTTTAATAAGATTAATTTCAGCATCACCCTGTGGGATCTTTTAATTCTTCACTCTGAATCTTCTGTGTGAAGTTGTCTTACCAGATCCAATCAGGTATTTCTCATTGCTCAATAGGAGAGAGGAAATGAATTTTTCTGATGAGGGAAAAAACACAATGAATAGCTTGATTCTCCCCCCAGTGCCATTTGCATTCAATTTTGTGCTGTAAATGAAGTCAATGTTTTCCTGGGTCAGAGGTGGCTAATTATTCATAGCACTTTCATTTCCAGCAGTAGAGTCATCATATCCCTGCCAATCATCCTGGTAACTATTTTGTGTTTGGTTTACTTTGCATTGCTCTTAGGCTGGCAAGTCTAGCTGCTGTCTGAACTTGTACTATTATTTGTTGCTTTGCAGTAGATTTTCCTGGGCTAGTGCCAGTAATGCTCTTGGCTTCTGAAGACAGACTGACTTTGGCTTCAGTGATTTTGGTTTCACCCATCTTATAAGATCATATCTGTTTTTAAAAAATAGAAATGGGAAGGAGGAATGAATATAGCACTCAGTTCATTTGTAAATGACGAAAGAAAAAGTAGTATTTCACTATGACGGATCTGTGTCATCTTTTTTTTTTTCAATTACAGTCGAACCCAAAGCCCAGAGAAATGAATTAGCCAAGGTGTAGCTGGGACTTCAACTTAGTTCTTTTAATTCTTAGACTGGTATTTTCCCTATTAAAGCCTCCTGCTTCTCTCTGATGGGTGTCCAAGAGCTGATATTGTTACATTGACTGCAGATAGGTTTACAGTGTCCTTTAGCCTTGTCCCTTGCAGTTTCACTCTTGGACTCCAGGCTCCTAGCTCAGATAAGAAGAGTAACTGAGTGTTAGTGCCCATTTTCTGTAGCAAATTGACTGATGCATTGTTAGGGATGGAAACCCAAAGGAACTATGATCCAGCCTTGCGTTTTCTTGCAGTAGTAAGGTGCTCTTTGCACAGATCTGTTTAGACAGATTTTAAGAGGGCTCCCACATAGATGCTGATGATTAAAATGCTAATTAAAACTGCTCCCAATGGCATTCACTGATAGCATTGCCAGAGCAGGTGAAATTTCAATTATCTTTTAGAACTGGAAAAGGCTCCTGCAATGAGTTGAGATAGAGTACCTGAGCCTTGGTTATTTCACGGACCTTAAGTGCTGGCTTTCCTCCAGATTTATTCAATTTCTCTTTTACATACTTTAAAAAAAATGTTGTGACATTTCTGAACATACGAAGTGGCCTCTTTGGAAACCTGAAATCTACTGGCGTCACAGGGGAGTGTGTGAAGCCGCACAGGTCTTCCACACCGACTGCCTTGTGAGACCAACTCACCGAACTTGCTGTCTTCGCTCAGGGCAGAGCTGGAGAGGAGACTGAAAGGCTTTGAAATAACAGCTACCAAAGCAGACGACATGGGTTCGCAAAGGGCCAACAGACAGTGACATCTCCAAGATCAGATCTTCACAGACACTGAAGTGAAGCTTTCAAATGCTCAGTCCCTACAGCCAAAAACAGCAGAAAACAGACCAGTTTTCCAGGAGGGCTCACTGCTCTGCAGTTTGAATTGACATAAATTTAAAAATTGTCAGTGCCGTAGCTTAAGGGCAGGAAACGCCAATAAAGCCAGGAGTATAGCAAAAAGAAAGCTGACGATGGGAAATTAAAGAAGAGATGAGAAGGTTACAGACAGACAATAGAGAACCAGGAACAGGAGAAAAGAGGCTGCCAAATGTCTTTTTGAGAGATGTACTCTAGTTAGTTACAAAGCTTTTGGCTTCCACATAGGAATTCCAGGACAAAAAATTCATGGCCTCTGTCTTTTGACTGTGGTGATCGCTGTAACTAGAAGTTGTGGAAGTTTCACCACTTTTTGTTCACTGGAACCTACACAGTGAAGGATGTGAAAGGGAATTCTGTCTAGCATGGTATGTAAAGTTAAACTATAGAAAAATAAATTTTCTGTAGTCAAGAGGAATCCTGCTTTCAGCCTTCCTGTTAGAGGGTATCCTTAGTACCAGATGAGCTGTTTTCTGAATCTTTTCTGGTGGAGTGAGCAACAGGTGGTGGTGGAAGCTAGTCAGGGTGTACAGAAAAAGCATGCGGGGAGGATTTGACAGATGAGGGAGGGAATGTAAGAGTGGAAGAAAGTGAACATATGCTAAGACAGAGTGGCTGAAGTTAATGTGATGTAAAATGACTCGGGCTAATGAAGCTTTTCATGAAAGAAATTTCTGCTAAACTATGCCTCGAGTACTGCACTGCATCTTACCTCAGATCAACGTAATTTGCATACCTCTGATATTTACACGTAACAGTGAAGAATGTTATAATTGCTATCCAAATATTGTTTTACTTCATGCCTTGCAATATCCCAGGGCTGTGTT